GGTGTTCAGTATATACGCACACAAAAAAACAGTGAGTGATTGTGGTTTTGCGCTTCTTTTAGCAACATTCCTGCAACATCACGGCGGGGGACACCAGAAATGGGCTTTACACATTGTACCCATGTGGGGAATGGAACCCGGGTCTTCAGCGTGACGAGCAAACGCTTTAACCACTAGGCTACCCCACCGCCCCGTAGGCACTAGAACACACCCCTGATCTGTTAACGTACAGCCCACTTACAGACGCTTTTGTACATCCCTTATCTCCTGACGTAAACTCCAATTACATGCTCTAAGACACACTCCTTATTATTCGTTACGCCAACTTCTAGGAAATAGGAATAGCCCATCTCTCGATCTAACGCCCAATTCCAGGACCTTATCTCTCGATCTAACACCCACGTCCAGGCACTAGGGCTCGCCCCTTATCTCTCGATATAACAAATTACTTACAGAAGCAGCTCATATTTTCTGGCGTAACAACCACTGACAGGTACTAATAAACATTCTGTATCTCTAAGTGTAATAGCTACTGACAGACACAAAGAAACACTTTGTATCTCTCAGTGTAGCAACCACTGACAGACGCTAATAAACACTTTGTAACCCCAAAAATAACAACTAGTCTGACAGACGCTAATAAACACTCTGTATCTCTCAGCGTAACAACCACTGACAGACGCTAATAAACACTCTGTATCTCTAAGAGTAACAACCACTGACAGACGCTAATAAACACTCTGTATCTCTCAGCGTAACAACCACTGACAGACGCTAATAAACACTATGTATCTCTAAGAGTAACAACCACTGACAGACGTTAATAAACACTCTGTATCTCTAAGTGTAGCAGCCACTGACAGACGCTAATAAACACTCTGTATCTCTAAGTGTAACAACCACTGACAGACGTTAATAAACACTCTGTATCTCTCAGCGTAACAACCACTGACAGACGCTAATAAACACTCTGTATCTCTAAGTGTAACAACCACTGACAGACGCTAATAAACACTCTGTATCTCTCAGCGTAACAACCACTGACAGACGCTAATAAACACTCTGTATTTCTAAGTGTAACAATCACTGACAGACGCTAATAAACACTCTGTATCTCTAAGTGTAACAACTACTAACAGACAGTAATAAACACTCTGTATGTCTAAGTGCAACAACCACTGACAGACGCTAATAAACACTCCGTATCTCTAAGTGTAACAACCACTGACAGACGCTAATAAACACTCTGCATCTCTAAGTCTAACAATCACTGACAGACGCTAATAAACACTCTGTATCTCTAAGTGTAACAACCACTGACAGACGTTAATAAACATTCTGTATCTCTTAGTGTAACAACCACTGACAGACGCTAATAAACACTCTGTATCTCTAAGTGTAACAACCACTGACAGACACTAATAAACACTCTGTATCTCTAAGTGTAACAACCACTGACAGACGCTAATAAACACTCTGTATCTCTAAGTGTAACAACCACTGACAGACGCTAATAAACACTCTGTATCTCTAAGTATAACAACCACTGATAGACGCTAATAAACACTCTGTATCTCTAAGTATAACAACCACTGATAGACACTAATAAACACTCTGTATCTCTAAGTGTAGCAACCACTGACAGACACTAATAAACACTCTGTATCTCTAAGTATAACACACACTTACAGACACTTACTCACAGCTCTTTTCGCCCAACCGAAAGTCCACTTTCATCGCTTAAGTTTGGCCTCGCTTCTTTCACAGCATAAGGTTTATTTGATTCCCTACAACTGTGGTAACAAATAATAGGTCTGTATTGTGCTATATTTACTATATTTTTGGCCTGATATAGTCGCAAGCCTGACGTATTGTAGGTTACAGATCTGCTTGAAGCTACTTGTACATATGGAACTGAAGTATAAAAGAAAGGTCACGGAAGTTCGGGATTATTTTCCAAAATACAACGTAAATATTTTGAAAACTGTTTTGATTGTGACTTGCAAGTCACAAACAATGTGTACGTGTTGCCAAACCGGCACCTCTTCAGCAAGTCCCGTTATTTTGTTGTGTAGAGTTGAATTTACTGCTCACCTTGAAAGACAGGTTTTTAGGTTCACATGACGTTTGTGCTCTTGCCATTAAACTGGAAATACAGTCTGACAAATGGTGTCTGTAAATTTCCTCACACAATAATTAATCAAGGTCTGAGTGGGAAGTGGGAAGGAGGATGTTGCTATTTACAAACCAGTATTTGGAGTGGCCACTGTTAGGCAGTAAAGTGTGTTGGCAACACGTTATTGTCTTGAAACCGTGTGCAAATCAGTAGAAATATTGTATAAATACTTTGGTGACTTGGTCTACTGTACAAATCAGTGGATGTCATGGAATCACGTACAAATCAGTTGATGTCAAGGAATCACGTACAAATCAGTTGATGTCAAGGAATCGGGTACAAATCAGTTGATGTCAAGGAATCGGGAATAAATCAGTGGATGTCAGGGAATCATGTACAAATCAGTGGATGTCAAGGAATCACGTACAAATCAGTGGATGTCAGGGAATCACGTACAAATCAGTGGATGTCAAGGAATCACGTACAAATCAGTTGATGTCAAGGAATCGGGTACAAATCAGTTGATGTCAAGGAATCACGTACAAATCAGTTGATGTCAAGGAATCATGTACAAATCAGTTGATGTCAAGGAATCACGTACAAATCAGTTGATGTCAAGGAATCGGGAACAAATCAGTTGATGTCAAGGAATCACGTACAAAACATCGGATGTCAAGGAATCACGTACAAATCAGTGGATGTCAAGGAATCATGTACAAATCAGTTGATGTCAAGGAGTCACGTACAAATCAGTTGATGTCAGGGAATCACGTCCGAATCAGTTGATGTCAAGTACTCGGGTACAAATCAGTTGATGTCAAGGAATCGGGAATAAATCAGTTGATGTCAAGTACTCGGGTACAAATCAGTTGATGTCAAGGAATCACGTACAAATCAGTTGATGTCAAGGAATCACGTACAAATCAGTTGATGTCAAGGAATCACGTACAAATCAGTTGATGTCAGGGAATCACGTACAAATCAGTTGATGTCAAGGAATCACGTACAAATCAGTTGATGTCAAGGAATCACGTACAAATCAGTTGATGTCAAGGAATCACGTACAAATCAGTTGATGTCAAGGAATCTGGTACAAATCAGCTGATGTCAGGGAATTGGGTACAAATCAGTTGATGTCAAGGAATCGGGAACAAATCAGTTGATGTCAAGGAATCACGTACAAAACATCGGATGTCAAGGAATCACGTACAAATCAGTGGATGTCAAGGAATCATGTACAAATCAGTTGATGTCAAGGAGTCACGTACAAATCAGTTGATGTCAGGGAATCACGTCCGAATCAGTTGATGTCAAGTACTCGGGTACAAATCAGTTGATGTCAAGGAATCGGGAATAAATCAGTTGATGTCAAGTACTCGGGTACAAATCAGTTGATGTCAAGGAATCACGTACAAATCAGTTGATGTCAAGGAATCACGTACAAATCAGTTGATGTCAAGGAATCACGTACAAATCAGTTGATGTCAGGGAATCACGTACAAATCAGTTGATGTCAAGGAATCACGTACAAATCAGTTGATGTCAAGGAATCACGTACAAATCAGTTGATGTCAAGGAATCACGTACAAATCAGTTGATGTCAAGGAATCTGGTACAAATCAGCTGATGTCAGGGAATTGGGTACAAATCAGTTGATGTCAAGGAATCGGGAACAAATCAGTTGGTGTCATGGAATCACGTACAAATCAGTTGATGTCAAGGAATCGGGTACAAATCAGTTGATGTCAAGGAATCGGGTACAAATCAGTTGATGTCAAGGAATCACGTACAAATCAGTGGATGTCAAGGAATCATGTACAAATCAGTGGATGTCAAGGAATCACGTACAAATCAGTTGATGTCAAGGAATCACGTACAAATCAGTTGATGTCAGGGAATCACGTACAAATCGGTTGATGTCATGGAATCATATACAAATCAGTGGATGTCATGGAATCTGGTACAAATCAGTGGATGTCATGGAATCTGGTACAAATCAGTTGATGTCAAGGCTGAGCTGAGCTGAGTATGGTTTTACGCCGTTTTTAGCAATATTCCAGCAATATCAGGGCGGGGGACACCAGAAATGGGCTTCACAAGTTGTACCCATGTGGGGAATCGAACCCGGGCCTTTGGCGTGACGAGCGAACGCTTTAACCACTAGGCTACCCCACCGCCCCAGTTGATGTCAAGGAATCACGTACAAATCAGTTGATGTCAAGGAATCGGGTACAAATCAGTGGATGTCAAGGAATCATGTACAAATCAGTTGATGTCAAGGAATAGGGTACAAATTGTGGATGTCAGGGAATCACGTACAAATCACTTGATTTGTGGAATCGTGTACAAATCATGGACAGCCAATTTAATCATGCATTTCATTCCGAAGAAAATGTCATATCACCCGAGCGAGAAAATTAAACGCTTTACCGCTGTAATATATGACGTTGAAATAAGTGAAGCATAAACAAAAAATACACAGGAACACATATTGCTATCTAGTTTCACAAAATATATGCTATATTCCAAGAAGGTAGGTTCGAGATATCCCTACATTCGGGAAATCTCGCGATAGCGGGTGCTGATTCCAGTTATCTACTCCCCAAATGCAATCTTGAATTTTGCCGTTATAATGAATCAATCAAACAGCATACATTTGCATCGCATTCATGGAGCCTTAAACTGGCATAACATCAGAGACAGTAAAAGATAATGACAAATCTAAACAATAGAAATAAAGAAAATTATTGTACTATTTAAATCGAATATCTCGTAACCAATGGACACTTAGTTTGCTGGTTCAACTAGATCACACATGCAATAAACGTACATAATAAAAACCGAATGTTTGTGACAAATAAAACCAACGGGCCAATGAACGTACCTGTTAATTAAACTGTCGTCTTCTTCTTTGACGAGGTTGTTTGAAGACGGTCACACGTTACTAGGGACGGTGTAGTTCACGCTCGTGGGGGTACGCTGGGTGTATGTGTGGTATACACTGCTACATTGTATCTGCAGGGAGCTACCCGCGGGGGGCCGGGTATCTAGTGACTCCCGATTGGCTAGATAGGTGATCTGATAACAGGATTATAACCTCATAGACACAGTTGATCTCGGGATGAGATAAGACAGAGTTATCGCCCATGAGTACACCTCGCTGCAGGGTATTTTTCAAGAGCAGTATTACCGTAACCTCCAAGGAGCCTCGAGTGTGCCACTGCTATTTAACATCTTCCTACAACGCTGGGACTTCAACTTGAACCTGGTCGCCACATGAATAATAGTAAAGTTTTTTTAAGGCCAAACTTTTTTGATCACTTGGTTTACGGATTTTTCACAGCACTATTCCTGTCGGTAGGTGGCCAAAAAAATAATGATTAAAAAATGCTATTTCATGATTTTTTTCCCTAAGTGGCTTTCAGAGTAAGTAGGCTGTGTTAAAAAAATAGAATATGCCATCAGCCATTCAGGTGTTTTCATTTCCAACAATAATAGAGTTTTTAAATACGAGCATTTTCATTCGATAACGTTAATCTGGCGATTATATACTCATGCCAATAATGGTTGTCACACCCCTCCCCACCCCGACCCCACACACACCTCACACCCACACCCCACACCCCCTCTCCAATTAAAAAAATTGAAGGGGGTGACAACCATTATTGGCATGAGTATATTTGTTTCAATATTTAAAATTCTGTTTTGCACCGATGCAAACTTCGTAATAGAAAGTCGATTTCAATAAAGTAGATTTTTTAAATGTTTATTTGGATTTTATTTATTGGTAGTATTTAAAAAATGGCAAAATTGATTTTTAATTTTTTTTTCAATTTAGCAAAAATTACAGTCGACGGATCCGTAAACCAAGTAATTAAAAAGTGTGGCTTTAACATTAAATACTTCAGCATGTCATTTTGGTCGTTGATATGACTAGAGGAGAGGCAAAGGGGTGGATGCAGAGGGGGCAAAGGGCGGGGTGCAGAGGAGGGGCAAAGGGCGGGGGGTGCAGAGGAGGGCCGAGGGGTGGGGTGCAGAGGTGGGGCAAGGGGTGGGACCAGAAGTGGGGCAATGGGTTTGTTGAAGAGGTCGAGCAGGGGTTGAGGTGCAGAGGGGCAAGAGATGGGGCAAAGGATAGGGTGAAGAGGTGGAGCAAAGGGTGGGGTGCAGCGGTGGGTCAAAGGGTGGGTTGTAGCGGAGCAGCAAGGGGTGGGATCAGACATCTGACAAGGAGTGGGACCCGAAGTGGGGCAAAGTGTGGTGTGTAGAGTTGGGGCAAGGAGTGGGGCCACATGTGGGTCAGTGGATTTGGTACAAGGGTGGGGCAAGTGATAAATCAATAGTGTGCGTTTTTGGAAGAAAAACCATCCGCACGGCTGCCTGTCAGTCAGTCAGTCAACACTACCATTTACCAGCAAGCACTGGTAGTCCAGTCAAATTGTGACAAAACCTCCAAATAATTGGTACAGAGTGTTTTCAACATGTTTAAGTTATAACTAATGAGTACTAAAGGTCCTCCCTTGAAATATCTTGCTAAGTCCTATATTTGGGGGTAAAAAGTTGAAAAATTGAAATTTTCAGTGAATAATTTTTCTAATCTCACACTGAGACACAAATTCACCTTTTTATATATTTTTTTCAAAGAGAACACAAGGTACTACTAATAAATGGATTAGAAAAGTCAAATAATGTTATGCGAAGTCCTATTTTGGGGTAAAAAGTTAAAAATTTGAAATTTTAAAAGAATATTTTTTTTAAATTTCATGTTGAGACACAAATGTACTTTTATGGATATTTTCAAAGAGAACGCAAGGTATTACTAATACATGGGTTATAAAAGTCAAATAAATTCATGCTAAATCCTATTTATGGGGTAAAAAATTGAAAAGTTGAACTTTTCAGAGAATAATTTTTAATATCTCATACTGAGACCCAAATGTACTTTTATGTGTGTATTGTCAAAGAGGACACAAGGAACTACTAATACATGAGCTGGAAAAGTCATATAATTTGAATAAACCCATAGATAAAAGACTTTTCAGAACATATTTTTTCTATTTTCAATTGTAAAATAAACACAACTTCAGGAGCATGCAATTTAGTTCCTCTTTTTGTCCCATCAAAGTTATGATTTATCTGAAAGGAAACTATCCTCTATCAATATGGAGAAGCTGATAATTAAATTTCATCCCATATCTCTAAAACTAACACATATTCATTCATAAACTTTGAACAGAGAGAGAGATCAAGTTATGAACTAGAGCCCTGTGCTATTTGAAGATGTTGAAATGTTATTACCTTGGCAATAAGTTTGACTTTGACTCCATGGTATGGCTCGTTTGATTTCATTTTAGACCGATGAATTGCTCACAAACACAAAATCTAATAAATGCAACAAGATCAAACTTTGCACAGTCACATGAAATCGACAGACCAACTCTGATGATTTGTCTCATAATTTTGGACACCCGAATAAGGAAAGTTGTTTAACAAACGATCATTATTTTGTTGTTACTTTTCGCTATTTCTAACGAGGGGGGACCACTTGCTGGTAGAACAGCCAGGTGTGTGAGTTGTGTGTGAAATTGAAATTTCACTGCACACGCATGTTGATTACTTGGCTGTTCTACCACAAAATAATGATCGTTTGTTAAACAACCTTTTTTATTCGGCTGTCCAAAATTATGAATCTGTTTAGGCCATTTGACTAACCTAATATATGTGGCTTGTCGAAATGTGTACCGACATTGTACTTCTATGTCTGACCGCTCACAAACACGCAAGTAGAGCAAATACAGCTTTGAGTCTGAGATTCAGGTTGATCATAGGCACGAAGGTGACATAACTCAATACTGAGAACGATACAATCTAGTGATTCATTTATATTCTACATGAATTGTTCAAGACATCAAGCAATTTGATTCAGCATCTCCGTAACATATGAACCCAGGACATATGAATCCATCCCTGTTAGCGCATCAACACCTTGGCATCCTTGGCAAACCCTCATCTGATTGGCAATCATCGGTATGTGTTAATCCATGTTCTCAGATTGATCTACATTATCTGTTGCAAGCTGAATGTACACCCATTTTCAGAAGCGTTGCAATAAGCTCCTACGTCTGTAACTAGAGGTGAGGTGAGGTGAAATTGGGTTTAACGTCGTGCTTGAGAATATTTCGCTCATATGACGACGTGCATGCGTGTGTGTGTGTGTGTGTGTGTGCGGCTACTTGTACTAGCCCAGACTTAAGCTGTTTTTATAGTGCTAGCCCACTGAGATACCATGTCGCAGTGAAGCATGAATACCCCACTCAGAAACATTATACTGACTCCGAGCCGACCAGTCCTTGTTGTACCCATTAATGCCGAGCGCCAGGCAGGGACCAACAAGTACCATATTTTAACATCTTTTGGTATGACGCGGTCGGGGATCGAACCCGCGACCTTCCGTTCTCCGGGCGGACGCTCTAACCACTACACCACGGAGGCGGTCTCTGTAACTAGAGACAGTAATAACTGAACAAGATATTAATTATCTTATCTGGCGGCTTGAACTATAGTGATGGTGACCCTGAACACCAAGGGCTTTTCAATGGGGTGACAGATATTCCCTTGGTCTCATAGTCTGTATATTTTAATTAATTTTGAGTATCATGCTTGGTGACAATGCTATTCCAAGCAAAACTTAACAGTAACTAGGGGTGGGTATTGCAGAGAATTTTCATATTGCCATATATTGCGATATGTATTGCAATATATTGCAAGAAGTTTTTTCAACAAAAAAACTACTTATACTCGAGTTAATGCTTGATTTATAAAGCAAAAACAAACCAAAATCATCATGTTTGATTAAGCTTTAATAAAACTTTTAATCCTGACAAAATAAAAATGTAAATAATATTTGGCACAAATGAAACAAGGCAATATCCGAAGATTTCCGAGTGTTACGAAGTTTTCCGAATGCATGTCAAAATACCGGTTTTCGATCAGCGTATCGCAATACGTATCGTTTTCATGTCTGAATCGGTGAATACCGGTAAACCGTGTATATTGCGCAGCCCTAACAGTAACAGAAGATATTCTGAGTAAAGGAAGTCGAGTAATTTGAAGGGCTGTGTACAGGTTAACTTGAATATTTGAGATGTGGTTAGGTCAGGTGATTTGATTGAACGGTGCTTGCAATAGTTTTTCACTTACCGGTACATCGAATTGTACATGATTTCATGACAGTTACCCCCAACGACATGTGATACCATGGGATATATAATCATCCCTGTGTCAGTCAGAAATCTTTGTTTCCTGAGCAAATTTTAAGACGCTTGATATTAAAGCATGTACCACCTACTATCAAAGTATTTGAAATACTTAACGTATTTGTCCTTCAGTAATTTCAGTTTCAAAAATACCAATATTATTTTAAAAATTTACTGGCAGTAAAAAAGACAATACTGGATGTACTTTCAAAACCTTTCTAGACCTTTTAACAAGTAGCCTACCCCTCGTGAAGATCCAGGTTAGAATTGATCTTCAGTGAGCCATGCTTGTCATAAGAGGCAACTAACGGTATCGGGTGATCGTGTTCGCTGACTTGGTTGACACGTGTCATTGTATCCCAGTTGCGTAGATCGATGCTCATGCTGCTGATCACTGGATGGTCTGGTCCAGGCTCGATTATTTACAGACCGTCGCCATACAGCTGGAATTTGCTGACTGCGGCGTAAAACTAAACTCACTCACTACAAGGAGCCTAAGTGGTTTTGTGTTTATATCATTTACAATAGTTATGTAAACAACAGTGGGCTAGTTGACCTCACAACAAATATGCAGATATTGAAGCATCAGAAATTGAACATTTGTAAATTGTTAAATCTGTTTATTGTTTTATTGAAAAATCTTGTCGATTTAGAAGATTTTGTCTTCATTCTAGCACGACTGATAAGCGTTATAAAACCGGACTGTTTGGCGCGCAAGAACACAAGGGATGAAGGGGCCTTTTTCC